GGCTGAGGAATTCTGGGAGTTGAAGTCCACAAGTCTTAAAGTTGCCAAGGTTGGAGACCCCTGATTTAGAGTATACCTGGTACGTAGGTAGGCTCTGGCATAGTAGACAGTATCCCACTGTTGTAGATATTTTTACACAAATTACTGCAAATATTACATTCCTCATAATAATCTTAAATTTAGGCAGCAGAACATTACTAGTCTCATTTGAAAGCAGAGAAACACTGTACTAACAGGATACATAACTTCCAACCTCTAGAATGCTTCTAAAAGTCACTACTCAATCATAATATTTAATTTACAAAAGGGGAAACATTCGTTCGTCTTAATCATGTCTATTTCTCTGATTCATAGCCAGCTTACTTTTGGTACCACAAACTATTGAAGCCAAGAGTGACTTTTGGCCTGCATTTCCTGTTCTGATGTTATGTTCATCCATCCATCCTTGCCATTCACATATACAGCCCTCACCACTTCCTGAAAACAAAGTTTCAGAAATGTCTTTTGAAACATGTCCTTGTTTCTTATCACTTTCCATTGTACAGAATTTGAAAGTGGTTTTATAACAGTGCTACAGGAAAAGAAAAATAGTACGTAAAAGCAGCAGCTAGGAAAAGCTAATAAAAAATGTGAGTCTTCAAGGCATACTTAAAAACATACTTAAGCATGTTTTAAGCATACTTAAAAGCATACCAGCTACAGGACAGGTGTACCACTGTAAAAATCTGTCCAGTTTCTTGATATTGCCAATAATTGTTTTTCAATTTCATTACATATATAGACAGATTCAAGTATTTAGAGCTCACAGGTTTATACAAATCACATCAACAATAGTTAGTCTCATACCTCTTTAACTTTATGCTTGTCAAGTTCATCAAAAAGTATCTGAAACTGAGTAGCTGTCAGCCCTCCTGGGGGACAAGATTGTAGTTTCTGCACATGGAACAGAAACAGGTATGAATCACACAGATTCATGGGTCTATAAAAACAGTTATCTTTAAAACAAACTAAAGTAACACATACTTAACTAAAAAAGGTGTCCTACCCTAATGATTGCTTCTTTGCAATAGGAATCCATTTTTACTTTCTGGAGGACTTGAAGGAGAGCTTCAGATTGGACACACAAGCTAGGAAATCAAAAGCAGAATATATGGGAAAGTGGACACTCAAGATAGGAAAGCAAAAGACACATAAACCTTCTGCTGTTCAGCCTTCACACAAACATATCTTGTGCATAATTATGCACAATTACTAATTAACATTTAACACTGCACAGTATTTGAGCAAAATGGTTTGGATAAGATCAGGATATGTGGGACTGGTTGGGGTAGATTGTAGGGTGACATCAAAATATAATTTTATCATATTTTATTTATCTATATATTAAATTATTGTATTTTATTCCAATTTCTTTGTAAACTGTATTTTATTCCAAATTCATTTTAAATTGTTTTTATCGGATTTTAGTAATAATAATTTGTGTCTGGAACTTTGCACTTTGATATGTCCCAAGGGCTAATCAATAAATTAAACTACTTTAACACCAGTTCTTTAAGATGTCTTTCACTTACGTATTTTTATTGATTGCAGTCTCTGTCAAAGAACAAAGAACTTCAAAGGCAGCCCGGATTCCCAAGCGTCTCCGGAAAAGCGATGACTGAACCGATTTCTAAAAAATGTATGAAAGGAAAGCCCATCGAAATTAACAGCAGACAGATACAGACTACTACTCCAACAGATATTTATATAGGTCATTACTACACAGACCACTAGTCCAATAGATATTTATAAAGGCCATTACTGTGAAAGATAAAAGTTACAGAATGTTTTGAAGCAGCAATTACTGAAACCCAAAGATTGGTTTTGCCAGAAGTACAAAATCAGGATGACCAGAAAGGAAATGAATATTATCCAACCATATATTTCTCAAATTTCTCAATATCAATTCAAAGGAATTATGAATACGAATCTCAGAAAAAGAAGCTACTTTCTGACCTACTGAGGAGCCAAAGGTAGATACCACAGGTGGCTCTATTCCCCCTTTTTGTAGTACGCAAAGACCAACACTCAACAACTAATGTCCAAGTCATAGAGGCTAACGAAAATCAAAGGAAGGACATGTATGCCGTGTGACAAATTAAAATACGGAAAAATATTTAACACTGCCTATTCAAGGGAAAAAATTTCAGTCCATATACTGCAAATGTCATCAGTATAGCATCAGCCCAGTGCTTAATGAAAGATTAACTTGTTTCCATTAACCAAAGTTTATCCAATATTAAAACATGGAAGTTGAAGAAAATATTTTATTGCTTACGGACAAGAAACCCATCAGTGTTATTTCATATATTTTTTATAATTGTAATACAAAGGGACAACATTTTATATAGTAAAGACAAATCTTGCAGAGGAAACTCTTTTTTGTGTGTTTATATAGGCTTTCACTGAATGTAAATCTGTTGGAATACATGTGAGAATGTATTTGTACTGCAACAACTACAGAATTATTCAGTCAATAGATGGCAGTGTTTAGTTTGCATAATCTATGGTTCCTTTTGTTCTGAGGAGAGTTTTCTGTGACAGTTGAAACGATTAAGCAAGGCCCATGGTGACTGTACACTATACACTTTATTTACTCTGTATGGCTATGTAACCATCCTCTGTTACCAATCTGTATGGCTATATAATAAACCTCTGCTACCATTTCTATATAATAAAACAGAATTTCTAATTTCCAACAAATTCATGTATTCAGCTGAAGTGTTGCCAGCTAACAAAATATCAATGTTATGTTGAATTCTACATAAGCTCAGATCATTACATTCTTTTGTTAATTTTTGACATGTTAATTACATTTTGTTTATGCAATGGATATTATATTACTTTTTTTCTATAATCTGAGAAGACTAGAAACAGAGGCTGTTTAGAAATAGAGCCGTGTTTAGAAATCAAGTGGGAAAAACTTCACCACATGGGAGAAATCGTGTCATATGAAAAGAACTTTGGAAAAGACACATGTTGGATATCTGAAAAATCTAGTCTGATCTATATCCATTCAGGATTGCAATTAAAATATCAGAATTATGGAATGAGCAAATATCTTGCTGAAAAATGCTCATTCACCATTTTAGTTTTCCAAACTTTTAAGATTATGATTCCATTCACATAAGAAGAATGTCACAATCATCATCACAATGGGACAACCACTAGTCTATGGCAGGCAGTCAAGTTCATAAATCATGGTCACAACATTGACATGGCTGCAGCATTTTCCTCCACAGCAGAAGTGTAAGTTCAAGAATACGATGTTTGTAAGGTCTCCATTGTATCTACCATTTCATGGTGAGAGCTGTGATGACACAGTGGTTAGAATGCAGTACCACAGGCTACTTCTGCTGACTGCCATCTGCCTGCAATTTAGCAGTTCAAATCATACCAGATTCAAGGTTGACTCAGCCTTCCATCCTTTCGAGGCTGGTAAAATGAGGATCCGGATTGTTGGAGGCAATATGCTGACTCTGTAAACTACTTAAAGAGGGCTGTTAAGCATTATAAAATGGTATATAAGTCTAAGTGCTATTGCTGTTCCAGTTGCCATGACATCAAACACTACATTTCCTGTTCAGTAGCCTAAACTCTGATTTAGCACTTTGAAACTGATAAATTGTAACATTTGTTAAACCTCACTTACCAAAAGATATCCCCGAAACTGATTGTATATTATTGCTGTCAACAAGTTCATCAGAAATAAGTTTCCTGTAACAATATGAAATTCTCTTATTTTTTTTTTAGGCAACAGTATAGTTTTATTTGTTTTCTTCCTGAAAACTACAACAAAGAATTAACTCAATCTTTACATTCCACTCAGTCTGAACACACAACTGAAAGAGCATACTAAAGCAACTATGGCAAGAACCTTGCTTACTCCTTGTATTGTTAAAAAAAATAAGCAATGCAACAAAATGCAATGACAGAAAATTGCCTGTGGAAGAGCGCATGCAGCCCTCATAAAGGATCAGGAGAACCATGCAGTACTAGGAAGTATGAATCACCAATTAAATTGAAAAGAAATAAACTAGATAAATCTCATAGGATTGCACTACACAGGCACATGCTAGGTCTACAGTGTGTTGAAAGCCTTCTCATAAAACATTGCCAATTAATATTTGTTTGCTTCTCTACAGCCTCTTCTCTGCACTACCATCCTAGACAAGATGGAATCCCTCATTTTCTGCAAACATTCTGAACACCTCAACAGACTCCAGGAGTGCCATAGACATGTCTACTGTGAATTTCCTTAGTCTGGAATCAAAAACTTACAGCTTTCCTTCAGAAGCTCAGAATTAGTTATACTCCAAATTTCTTTTCGCCTGGCTCCCTGTCCTGATTACAACCTGCCAGGACACAAGTTTTCCTCTAATGAATTTGCTAGGGGAGTTTATAAGTTGCATTTAGGAGCTATGGTGGCACAGTGGTTAGAATGCAGTACTGCAGGCTATTTCTGCTCACTGCTGATTGCCAGCAGTTTGGCAGTTCAAATCTCACTGTCTCAAGGTTGATTCAGCCTTCCATCCTTCTGAGGTAGGTAAAATGAGGGCCCAGATTGTTGGGGGCAATATGCTGACTCTGTAAACTGCTTAGAAAGAGCTGTAAAGCACTGTGAAGCAGCATATAAGCATATAAGTCTAAGTGCTATTGCTATTTACAAGTTCTTCTGCTTAAGATGATAAGTACATTGTAGCCCTCAGAGCTTAAGAGCAGAATTCACTAACAATCAGAAAAGTAGACCATTGGTTGCCCTTATATCTTCAGTCACACCTCCATTTAGCCACTCACTTTTTATGCACATTCTGCAATTACCATCACATGGTAAAGAATGAGTTTACAATGCATGGCTTCTTTGGGTCTTCTATTCAAAGAAACAATCAACTTACCTATCACAGTGAAGAGTATAAAGAAGATGCAATATGCTCGATTCTTAGAATATGCAGGAATCATCACTGTCCAATAGTTTAAAAAAACAATAAATCAGGTTTAAGAAATGTCATGTTTAAGGTACTAATAATTAATAATAATCCTTAAACAGAGACCTATGTAGTTTTTAGCAGTGAAACAAGGAATTCATTTTAGCAGTTATCTGGGAACTCATCACTATCTGATGCAAATAAGGGTCTGCAATTCCTGATTTGGGTTAGAAGCTACGCAACAGATTACAAAGGCCTATTTGATCATGCTAAGCCTTATCTTAATCTAGCTTTTTTTCCCCTCTCATAAAACCCTCTGCCAAAAAAATATCTCAGAAATATCAAAAGAAGGGTTAAAAAGGGAACAGGCCATTTTTCCATTAGCCTTCCCATTCAACTAACATATGGAGAGCTCCTTGGGAATCAGGCATTCTTTAAACCTATGTAATCAAATATGTACATTCTACCCCCAAACGAGAAGTAAGACAGCAGCTCTTGGTAGACCTGTTCTAGATAGAGGTATACAATCTCTTTTGAACACCCTCAAACTTAGTTACTATCACTAGTTCTTGTGATGATGAATTCCACATATTAATTATTCAATGGTTTTACGGAATCTGGATCAGCATATAATATGAAAGAAAGAAAAGTTATTTATATACACTTTTTTGGGGGTGGGGGGATAAAATGTTGCTAAAGAATGAAGAATCTCTGAGGTTAGCTACAAATTAAGGAGGAAGAGGAAAGTATTTTTGGAAAAGGATCCTTACCATCTGGATTGTTTGCAGTTGTCAACAGTACCAGCAATGAAGTTAATGAATCGGTCAAATTATGAAAATATCCTTGCCATTCTTTATCCTGTTGGGTATCCTAACCACAGAGATCCAAACTGTTAGCAAATAGAGTAACCAATCAAAGGTACTTAAGAGCTATGCACTGTCACCTTTGGCCACCCATTCAATCCAATCAAATATCAAATACAGATTTCATTTAATGGGCTGAAAGGAATCTAGTCTATACAACCCAAGGTAATCAACCCAATTACTTCTCTTGCAGTTGCTTCAGGCAGACAAGTATTTCAATATCCAAATACAAAAGACATTATTTAAACTGCAGAAAAAAGAAATGTAGGACAGGACACATCTGGTCTCAGATAGTACTTCGTTTTAGTAACTTGTTTTCTGGTCAAAACAAGCTATTTCCACATAGCACACTCTATGTTGATGTTATGTTTAACTATTTACAATTTGGAACCTGTTCCTTCTATACTACATTAATATTGGAAATTCAATCATATAAAATAAAAACATTGCAAATGGTAATTCCAGATAATCCAACAGATTTTATTTTTCCTTCATGAGACTAAGTGGAATGCAAATGCCAAAGAGGGCAGTGATTGGGAATACAAGAAAGGCATGTAAGGAAAGAATTATGCACTACTCTGGCCCATCCAACGGATTAAAAATTCTGTCTTCTATACCAAAAAGGCCTATTTTTATTCAGGTTTGTTACTCATGCATAGTCAGCTCTGAGTATGCATGATGAGAATTGACACAGAACGTACAGGAACCAAATGAAAAAACACATACACACACACACACACACACACAGAGGGAAATATAGCAAAGCAAAAAGTCAAAGGCCGTTGCCTTGTAGAATCTAACCTGCTTAATAGGACCTGTACTGTTTGTATGAGATGATTTTATCTTCTTTACTCAGGAAACGCTTTGAACACAATATTAGGCAACAGGACTGAAATGTATCATTTTTCTCACACAATTTTCAATAAAGTTAATTTTCAAAAATTGGCTCCCTATGACCATGGAGGAATCTTGACATGCAACCTTAACAAATGCAAAATTTAAAAGGAAAACAGGGCAGCAAAAGCTGACGTAAGAGAGGTGAAAATTACAGAAGAGGATTAATATCTTATCCACAACTTTCCAGAAGGAATACAGAAAATGTTCAGGAGAAACGCTGGTAGATCTCAGCTATGAAATTGTCCTTCACAGAAAATTCAGAAGTTATTTAGTTCTGCTCTACCAGAGAATGTAAGATGCCGTTGTTCGGGTATTTTCCCACGTCATAGTAGTGGTGCTTTTAAAGTTGTAGCAACGTTTCAGCAGAATCTCATCTGCCATCATCAGGCTTCTGTATAGTGTTAGTCTATATATATGTATATATATATATACAACTTTTTACCGTATATGCCGGCGTATAAGACGACCCGGCGTATAAGACGACCCCCCAACATTTCCACTCAAAATATAGTTTGTTATATACTCGCCCCCTCTTCCGCACGCCTTCCACTTTTGCACTTTTTTTTTTTTTTTGAGGCACTTTTGTCTACCGTAGAAACGAATCCCGTGAAGCTGAAAGGAGCAGCCAGCCTTCTCCCAGCTCCCA